GAGTCAGAGAGACAGAGACACAGAGTCACAGAGACACAGAGACACAGAGTCACAGAGACACAGAGACACAGAGACACAGAGACACAGAGACACAGAGACACAGAGTCACAGAGACAGAGAGACACAGAGTCACAGAGAGACAGAGACACAGAGTCACAGAGACACAGAGACACAGAGACACAGAGACACAGAGTCACAGAGAGACAGAGACACAGAGTCACAGAGACACAGAGACACAGAGACACAGAGACACAGAGACACAGAGTCACAGAGACAGAGACACAGAGTCACAGAGTCACAGAGACACAGAGACACAGAGACACAGAGACACAGAGTCACAGAGACACAGAGACACAGAGACACAGAGTCACAGAGACACAGAGTCACAGAGACACAGAGACACAGAGTCACAGAGACACAGAGTCACAGAGACACAGAGTCACAGAGACACAGAGACACAGAGTCACAGAGACACAGAGACACAGAGACACAGAGACACAGAGTCACAGAGACACAGAGACACAGAGACACAGAGTCACAGAGTCACAGAGACACAGAGACACAGAGACACAGAGACACAGAGACACAGAGAGACAGAGAGAGACAAATACACATGGCCTCATTACTGCAGGAAGACAGATGAAGAGGGAAACAACTGGAGAAGTGACAGCTCCAGGCCGGAGAGGAAGTAAAGATTGACAGCTGTTTTGGGATCTGCTGATATGGGATCTGCTGATCTGGGCTCTGCTGATCTGGGCATGTTGATCTGGGCCTGCTGATCTGGGTTCTGCTGATCTGGGCTCTGCTGCTCTGGGATCTGCTGATCTGGGCTCTGATCTTCTCTGGATGATCTGGTCACAGGTCAGCCGGCTTCTTCATGTCCCTTTGCCGATAGAGCCAGAGTGTGTCCCCGCACTAATTCCCTCCATGCATACACAGGCAGACAGAGTGGAAGAGGAAGTGTCCCATAACCTCCGGGCCCCCCTCGCCCCCCCTCCCCTCGGGGAGGTTTTGTAAAGCGGACAGGAAGCTGATGGTCCCAGCTGACCTCGGCTTTGTCTCTCGGCTCATCTCACATCTGGGCACCAACACAATGTGGAGACAGCAGCATTCAGAGGCACAAAGCCTGCACTCCCCCCCCTCACTGCACATTCAGGCTGTGATATGGAAATGGAAATTGTTATTAGATATGTCGAGGATGATGAGGCTCTGCAGGTCAGGACCTGTGTTCTCACTGTAGCGTTAAAAGGTAAAGTCTTCCACTCATCTGACATTTCTCTCCATCTTTCTGCCTGTACACTTATGTTCTTCAGAAATTCTCTGATATGTTAGTAATGATGAACTATTTTGACTAAATACTGATCTGTGGGTCAGATTGAAAGTTCAAATCTGGTGTGATTTGAAAGGATTCTCTCAGCGACACATCAGACAGAAGCAGCACGTGTTCCTTTACTGTCTGGTTCTAATGCTCTTGCATGATCCTTCCATTAATGTATAATGGAAGGATGTACCATGCAGTATTATAGCATTATCAAAACTAGTGCATAACACGTATAACACTTATTAAAGCTGAAATCATGAACTGAAATCATTAACATCAGCATATGTGCAACACTTTTCTAAAGATCCCTTAAAGTCCTCAGGTACACAGGCTGCATGACTTTTTTAGATGAAAGAGTCGGCTGTGTAATACGCAGCGCGGCCTGACAGTGAAGGCATCACTCCGGTGCCCGTCACAAACAATGGAGAGAACCAGGAGAACCTCAGAAGGCTGCGCAGCTCTCCGTCTTCCTCTATTATTAATGATTTCTATTTTTTCAGATCATTCTCCTTCAGTCAGGATTAGCACAGAGACCGCTCTTTTAAGTGAATACAATAAACCCTATGAATCCATAACGATCCTGATATCTCTTACGTTTCCAATCCACATAATGTGCAATATTTTATACATTAAATAACAATACGTTATTATTAAGATTGCGTACTAATAATACATTGGTAAAAAGGGAAATCGAACAGGAGAGCGGCCTATAGAGCCGGCGTTGTGTCCCTCATGTTTTACGCGTACCGCATGTCTGTAATAAATACTCATAACTGTCACCCCTGAACTCTCTGTGTAACAGTTGGAAGTGCAATATTAAGACAAATACTACTTAAGTGTTTTGATGGATTTGGTTTTCTTAATCTTGTTTTTGTCATAGATTTATGTCCTTTGTTTAAATTGGATATTTGGCACGTTTGTGACATTTTCATCCGCGTTTCTGTTTTTTGTTGAAGGTTCAATCAAATTAACGAACACTTTTTAAATGAGCTCTTCAACAGCACATTGTTATCTGTTACAACTAATCGAAAAAATGTATACGTTATTTTTTTTTTAAAAGGAAGGTTGAGTGAAGTACATTGAAGTCCCCATCGCCAGCGGCTTTCAATTAGGGTTACAAAATCAATCATTAAGCTTTCTTTAGCAATTTGATTTTAACCCTCATCTAAATTCACCTGCAGTGCTAGTATTTCAAAGATTGTGAATAACGGCAGAGACCCCGGTGAGGCCCCCCAACACCGCGCTGTCAGGAAACAGAGGTTTTAGTAATTGGTCATTTGGCATCAATATGACATATTTCTCCTTATATGATTATTCTTCCTTCATGCATGCGATCATTCTTCCTGAACTCCCTCGGCCTCATCAAAACATTAAATCAACTCTAAACTGCATTGTCATTTTTGACTATTTACATTTTGAGACTTTTAACTTTAAAAAAACATTTCAACCCCGTTATGTTAATGGTTACTTTGCAGATTATGATTTTGAATTCAGCATGCAATCATCTCATGCTCAGTGTTGCTACAGTCCTCAGAATGTGCAGCTGTTGTTTAACGCAGAGAGAAATCCTGCACGAGCGGTCCGATATGAACAATAAATATTAGTATAATTGTTTTTATTTCCCAGTTATTACCTTCAGTCGCCACTAATACAGTCATATTTTTTTCTGCATATGAACGTGAAACAGAAGTGTTTTTTAAACGATGTAGCCTAAACAGAGAGTGAGTGTGTGTGTGAGCGGGCGACTCATTTCGCGCGGGTGTGAGCGAACTGAAGCGAAATCCTCTTCGCCTGATCCAAAGAAAAAATGACTTCTTGGTCCATGCTTGCACGCGACGAATAGAAAGTCTTCAGATTATTTACTTTATATCATTTATTATTATATAATTTATATAATTATACTGCAGTGTAAACATACTCAGTTACAAGGAACAGTCCTGCATTCATAATTGTAAAGGTTACTAGCATCAAAATATACTTGATCCAGAATGGCCCATTTAAGCACCATGTAATACAAATAATTGTTGTGATCATCACTTTAATGGTGCACTTGGTTTTAGTTGGATTTATTTGACTCACCTTATATACTAGCTTAACCAATAATATTATATAATAATGTAGTTGTTGATTCAGTAAAGGTAAGTAAATAAGTGATTGAGTAAAGGTACAACATTTGCCTACAAAATATATTGAGTAAAAGTGTTCCACTACTGCATAGACCTAAGAAACAAACACATGGGTTGGAGCAGGCTTGTTGTTATATTTTAAATGAACCAGAAGAGGAAAATACCCCATGACCCCCATCTCACAGTTCTATACACGTTGCCCTAAAGGCTACATACCCCAGCCGAGCCCCCCAGCAGGAACAGGCTGTTATCAGAGGCACTGCACCCTACAGAATGACTAACCCACACAGTCTGCAGGACACTGCGCTGCACCATAACCAACTCATGGTGCTTTGGCCCAGGTTCTATGATCTCCAGATGGACTTGAACACTCCTGGAAGCAGGCTGGTTATTGGTCCACATAACAGGTCCAATGATGGAGTGCAGGCAGAGCATGAACCTGCTGTAAATATCAGAGGAATGAATTCAGAGGTTCTCACTACAACTTGACTTTTACACATGTTCAGCTCCATGTAATGTTATTCAGCTGTATTTCAATTAAAGATGCAAAGCCTTCATTGTCCAAGGTGCAGCATGCAACAAACTAAAGACTTCAAAACAATACAAAATAGTGCAAGGAAAACTTGAAATGAACTAGTGCTAGACAATAGTGCAAGTGACACAATGTGCACGTAATACAGAAATAAGCTACATTGAAAAGAGAATAAGATAAAAACTGAATGTAAAATGTTAAATAATGTACAGTGTAAAATACAATCTGTAAAATACAACTGGTTCTTTTTGGCTATCAATGCAATGATGTCCAGCCCACAAACACCGGCGCCCAGCAGCTGATGTGTTGCTGGGACAGTGTGGACCCATCTTATAAGACACGCTGATAGGCTATCACTCAAAGCTGGGCTGAACACTGTTTTCTGTTAGGAGCTACATTAACCATAACACTAAAATCCTTTAAATGTTTAAATAATTAGGCTACACATTTCCGCTGTAACCTGAATGCATCATAAACCATTATTCTCCGTCTCCAGGGAATTCCGGGAAGATCACATGACACCAATTTTGCAGCTCTATTGGTCCGAGGCACGTGTCTAGGAGAGCCGTAGTACAACGTCATCACAACCTCATCAGCCAATCAGAAATGAGAACCAAATTCCGTAGTGAAAGTATTTGAGCGGCGTCTTTATCAGACTACTTTAGTCCTACTAGAAGCATCAAAACTAGTGTGCAGGGACTGCAAATAAATCTTTTTTTTTTCTACCACTTTTACGATTTTGAAGTAAATACAAATATGGCATCAAGTCCTGGCATGAGGCTTTTTATTAGAAGCTGAGCATGCCTTTATTCTGTCCTTATTCTAAGCGGCGCGTCAGCAAAAACAAAAGAAAGTATTGTGCCAAAAAAAGGAACTAGTCCAGCTCCTCCAAGGTTTGGTGTTCCAGTCAAAAAAGGGTATCATTAATCATCGAAAATAAAGTGAAGCGGACCACAGCACAGGAGTTACTTTGTGTTGAGGGCCCAGAGGCAGAGGCTGAGGGGGATCCGGATCCATCACTATGGAAGGAAAGGCTCGCAGAGACCCGCAGCGCCCGCAGGACTCCGGCCAGGAGTCCAACCGGGCCATCCTGCCCCTCCTGCAGCCACCTGTCCACCAGCAGGCCCACAGGGTCACCAACTTCTATATAGACAACATCTTAAGACCGGACTTCGGACGAAAGAGGAAGGACGGGACTCTGGTCCGGGAGGGGGGCAGTCTGGCAGTGATCCTCCGCAGAGAGGAGCAGACAGGGAGGAAGTCTAGAACTGGAAATGCGCCGCAGCGCGGAGCGGGAGGCGAGGAGGAGCAGGACGAGACGGGAGAATCCGACCAGCAGGACCCGGACACTGTGGCCGAAAGGCCGGAGCTGAGAGCCGGGGAGGAGGCGATAGAGGGCCGGGGGGAGGCCAGCTCGGCCCCCGCCTCCAAGCCGATGCTGTGGCCGGCTTGGGTTTATTGTACCCGCTACTCAGACCGCCCGTCAGCAGGTTGGTGGAAATATTGCTGGTCCACTTTTCGTTAAATTAGAAGAACTGAAATAAATGAAAGGAATGTTTAAGGTCCGTTAAACTGAAAACAGATACATGTTTTTCAGAGAAGAAATACTCCCAGGATATCTTTAACCGGTTTCAAAGCTCTCGAGGATAGCCTACTTCTTAGAGAAAGAGAATGACATTTTATTCTCTGAGCTTTGCAACCCCCCCAACCCCAATTGATTTATCTTTTATTGCACCATCCTAACAATAATCATCTTATTATTTAATCATTTCAATAATAAAAAACCGAGCCGAGTCCTATTTAAATAAAACAAACTACTCTAAACGCAAATGAGAAAGTCGTCGGAGGAGTTTCGGATGGGAATGTTGGCTTTAAAATCACCTTCAAGTTGACAACACGACTTAATGTTACAGGAAGCGACATGAAAACAAAGTTATAGTTAAATACAAGTCGAAAGTTAAGTTACAATATGGAGAAGGGAACTAAAACCAAGTTTAACGCCATTGTTCATCAGTCTTCTTTGTTGATATACCATTAGCATATTTTTTTTGACAATGGCGGGGTCTAAAAAGTGAGGGCCGTGTGTCCCAAAAGAGAAAGATTCGATGTGAAATGCTGAATAAAACTTCAAAGCCCTTTAACCCGCCAACGAAATAAACAAGTCATTTTTGATAGCGTTTCTATTTTATGAACATCCTCGAAGTGAAGCGGTGTGAGGGTCCTCTGTCTCTGCGCCGCTGGGGGGGCTCGGACCGCTTTAACACACATCATGTTTTATCCTGTTTTATCATGTTTTATCCTGTTTTATCATGTTTTATCCTGTTTTATCATGAACACATTATGGCTGGTCGCAGGCAGGGTTATGTTCTGAGTGGACGCATGGTGCACTTGGACTTTCCTTTGTCGTGATTTAGATGCACTGATTAATAATGTTCAAAACTAGAAACCCAGCAGAGGAAGGGGATTTGCGATCTGTCGGAGGGGCGGGAGAAAAAAGCCCAAAACGAAGCGAAAACCGTGAGAATTATAGTTTGTGTTGTTGTATGGAAACTCAAAAAAAGTTCCATCGAGGTCCAGGCCCGACATATGGAAGTGACCACAAAGAGGCAGGGAGCTGCATGGTTAGGACTATTAAACCCAATATAACTGTGGGAATTAGTGAGAAAGGTTTTATAAAATGATTAAAGATGTATTGGTGTCCCTGTGGTGTCACCTCGATGTAGCTCTTCTTTATTGTACGCACCGAGGCCCAGGCAGAATGTTCCTTCTCTTTATTTCCGCTTTGCCTTTATCGTGAAATATCTGAATATTATATTAGTAACGAAAAGAGTTATGGCTAATTTTAGGAGAGTACTTTAAAAAAAATGGAGTTCCTATGGTAACAGGGAGAGAAAGAGGCGCCTAACTCCCCATCCTCCATCCCAACCCCACCCCCATCTGCACCTCCTCCCTCCTCCCTGAGCCGCATGATAACAGACCATATTACCCCTTACAGCTGTGATTAAATGTGTCTGTGGATTTTTTATTTAGGCTATTTAAATTACACTTAAAGTATTCACGGACCCAAAAGCGAGTATTTTCCCCAAAACGTTTAGTTCCTTATGACCCAAAGTCACCATTCAGTTCCAAACAAAGGTAATATATATCATGCTACATTCAAATAGTTCGTTTAATAGCAGGGACTTGTAATACTGAACATGTTTCTCCACCTGCTGAGAGCCTTTCTCTCAGGGTGGTGCAGGGACGCGTTCATGGAGCACTCTGTGTTCACGGAACCAGCTCACACTTTAATAAAACACCTGTGATTTTTAAATATGAGAAATATTAACTGAACTTTACACCTCAAGGGCCCAGATCCCGCAAACCAAAGAAGGCCCTGACCCCCAGCCCGGAGGACAAGCGGCCCCGCACGGCCTTCACGGCGGAGCAGCTGCAGCGGCTGAAGACGGAGTTTCAGGGGAACCGGTACCTGACGGAGGAGCGGCGGCAGGCCCTGGCCGGGGAGCTGGGCCTCAACGAGTCCCAGATCAAGATCTGGTTCCAGAACAAACGAGCCAAAATCAAGAAAGCCACCGGGAATAAAAACGCTCTGGCGCTGCACCTCATGGCGCAGGGACTGTACAACCACGCCGGGGCCAAGGAGGACAAGTCGGACAGCGACTAGAGGAGACCCGGGGACGGGGGTCCGGACCATGCAATAAAATCACTCCAGTACCAGCATTCATATTTAAACTCAACCAGAGACTGTGTGTGTGTGTGTGTGTGTGTGTGTGTGTGTGTGTGTGTGTGTGTGTGTGTGTGTGTGTGTGTGTGTGTGTGTGTGTGTGTGTGTGTGTGTGTGTGTGTGTGTGTGTGTGTGTGTGTGTGTGTGTGTGTGTGTGTGTGTGTGTGTGTGTGTGTGTGTGTGTGTGTGTGTGTGAAGGGATGCTCATTAATGACGGTGCCCAAAATGTCCAAAAACTCCAAAGTGGTGGTGCGTTCGTGTTGCGCCTACGAGTCGAAACAAACAAACCAATTTCTGTACGATGTAACGTCCAATAAAGAAGAGCCATGCTGCTGGTGCACTGTTAACAACACCATCCCGCCATTATTGGCCGGTAAATGGCTCTGGGTCTGGTCTGAAACCAAACCCCTGGAGAGAAGGGAGGCCTGTCGGCTGCTGATATCAAACCCTGTCACCTGAAGGTATAACCTGTCCCAGGTGAGGCAGTCAAGCTTATGTACTTTTGGGATAACATATGCGTTTTGAAATCATTTTGATTGGTCTACTAAAAAAAGGATTATCATAATTATTCATATTGTTACTCGGATGTTTCTTTTTAGAGTGACATTCCGGTGACATTAACTCGGAAAACTTTCTGAGTTGTATTTCCATCTATAACAGCAATATGTTGACATGAAGGGGTGCGGGGTGGGGGTCTGTTCCGGGGTCCAGACACGGCCCAAAAGCGGACAGCCCCAATCCATCAGGGTCAAATATGGACATTAAATCGCGGCCTGACGTCACATTAACTGTATTAGCGAGAAGTCAGCCAATAAGAGCTGAAAACCCGAGCTCGAGGCCGACAGAGGCGGATGGACGCGCCGTCACGCGCAGCCTGTCTCCGTGTGTTGTGGCTGAGGAACTTTTTGTATTGATTATCAAAACTTTATGCTGAAATCCAAAGATTGTGTCTCCTGCAGCATGGAGACTGTGAGGGTACTTTGTGTTGTGTTTTCTCTTTCTCTGTTTCCTTTTACTCTCTATTCAGTCTGTAACATGTCTCCGGTGTGTGTGTGTGTGTGTGTGTGTGTGTGTGTGTGTGTGTGTGTGTGTGTGTGTGTGTGTTAGATGGCGCCATGCAACGTTGAGGAATGTAATGTTATCTGAAATTAAAAGTCTGCTTTTTAGAAGCTGTCTGTTTAAACTGAAAACCTGGAAAAAGAGCCACACTGAAGAACACAGTCTGATGTCTGATTTGAGCCTATAGTGCTGAGAGATTGACATGCTTTTCTTTAAGATAATACATTCGTTAATATTCTTTTTCTATAAACCCTTTTTATGAAATGTGTCCAGAACCTTTGTGTTTCTGCCTGTCGCCTGAAGCCTTTAAACAGACTGTCCGCTGCAGCTTCGCCAGGAAGCCTCGAATGTTCAAAGACCTTTTTATTATTATTTATATTACAGTGAACCTCTACAGTCGCGTTCACGGTGCTGGAGTGTTTGCATAACTTATTTTTACTACCTTTGTTGAATGCTACATGTAGGCCTTGCCGGGTCTCCTTGATGCAGATCCAAACCAAATGGTGGTCTTACGATGCTGTGAATGTCCCTGTTTTATTTCTCTGCTGTGTTATAGGGTTGGCTCTTATTGCACCCAACTAACGGAGGAGCTTCTGCCTTACGGTTTCAAAAGAACACATAATGAACATTTAGTGGTTTTCTCCTCTCAGCTGAAAATCTCTTTTATATGATCCTATGTAAATAATTTATATATAATAATGTTGTGATGGTCAATAAAAGACAACAATGCAAATGTGTATTTTCAGAAGATTTCTTTTTATTATATAGGCTGGAGCACACGGGAGAAATGAAGTCTTCTGTGAAGATGAGTCTGCTTCATAATGATTGGGATGGCACGGGGCTTCATCTCTGAGCACCAAGCTCTTTAGTTGAATGCCACTGTGCAATAAGAATACACCAACCATAGCCCATAAGGGCAGCCCACAATTTCATTTCAAGTAGAATCATCTTTATATAAGTACAACATCAAATGATAATAAAGCTGATAACTGAAGCACTGCAGGCTTCTAAACCTTTGGAGATACAAGCCGTCATGATTATGACATAACCATCGTTGGAAGAATTACCTCCTTTACTTAAGTAAAAGTAGCAATACTTTGGTCTGAAAATACTTAATTACAAGTAAAATTCCTGAATTCAAAATATTGCATAGAAGTACAAGTATTGCCAGCTAAATGTAATTTAAGTATCAAAAGTAAAATGACTCATAGACCATGGCTCTTTTGAAAATGATATTATTTTAGAATATTAAGTTATTCCTCCTTCTAATTGCTTACAATTACATGTAGAGCATTAACTTGTAGTGTGTTAATTTTAAACATACATATTGTTGGTACCATTATATCCTATAATAATGTCATGTATTTTATATGGAAACCGTAGCTGTAGTGTCAAATAAATGTAGAGCAGTAAAAAGTAGAAAAAATGTAGAGGAGTAGAAGTACAAAGTAGCACAAAATGGAAATACTCAAGTAAAGTACAAGTTTGACAAATTAGTACTTAAATTCAATACTTGAGTAAATGTACCAGACAAGGTTAGATTTTTCACTTTTATTTAGATTACATTTTTGACACATTTGGAACAATTAGTTTGCGTCTCCCTCCCTGTTCTTGAACGTAGAATACTCAGATACACACACTTCTTCCAGACCTAACTGCTGTTCTTGAACGTAGAATACTCAGATACACACACTTCTTCCAGACCTAACTACTGTTCTTGAACGTAGAATACTCAGATACACACACTTCTTCCAGACCTAACTGCTGTTCTTGAACGTAGAATACTCAGATACACACACTTCTTCCAGACCTAACTGCTGTTCTTGCCAGTTTTTGAACCCTAAAATAGAGCCAGATTCCAGAAAGTAGCTGAACTATAATTAAGGCTGAAAAATAATTGTCCATTATCTTCAAGTATTTAGGCTATTGTGTCAAATGAGACAAAACGACAAGAACAGGTTGATATTAAATGGAAAACTCACAGAGTGAAATGTAGTCTCTGCATTTAACCCGTCCAATACGGAGCAGTGTGCACACAGCGGCAGGGAGCAGGGTGAGACGGAGAGACTGATAACCTCAGCTCAGGTGAAGTTAAGGACTCTCTGAGTGTTTAGATAGTTCACTTAGTCTAAGTTATCTCTGTGGGTCTCAAACGGTTTGGTTACCATTTATGTAAACACATATTTCCATTTGAGGGGGGAGTGATTAGTAAAATATGCATGAATAATACAAACAAAAAAGTTAACTAGGTGAAAAAAGGTAAGATGCACTTATAAAACTTGTTGAGAGCTAAAACTAGTCTTTGCTGCTGCCTCAAAGAGGAGCAGGGGGGAGAGGGGGGGAGGAGGGAGAGGAGGGAGACAGGAGAGGCTGGTTCAGGAGCACAGACACACTCACAACTATAAATGAACCAAAAATAAATAAATAAACAACTTTCAATTTTTTAAAAATATTGGATATGGTATCTTATTGGTTATGGCCATGTTCTTATGATTTTATGATTATTTAAATGTATACAGTTCTGTTTCATACGGGTGTAGTCTCTTTATTTCCCCCTCAAAGTGCACCAGATTGATGCATTTAAGTCCAACATTTAAAAAAAGCAACGCTGTAAATATTCACAAATAAATCCAGCAAAATGGCACAAAAGCTGGTAGTGGCCTGGCTGGGTGTATAATTCCCGGCCTGACTTATTGTCCCAGTCCGGCCCTGGTTTGAGTTGAGTTACTTGAAAAACTAAAGTGAAACTTGATTTATTTGATTGTGGGGTCTGATTATTCAATGTCCTTGTTTATTTGTGAGATGCAGTGGTACAAAGAAAATGCCTACTTTGTTTGGGACTAGTAGGTAAAAAAACACTGGTTGTTCTTGTTCCAGTCTGTTACTGTCACTTTGTTTTTGACACTTTAAAATACTATCCTACTAAAATGCTGTACAAATCAGATTACTAAATACATTTCAAAATGTTTCCCCAACATTTTTTATTTTTCAATATTGCGATAAATACCGTACCGTGGACTTGTTATTGCGATATTATCGTACCGTGAGTTTTTTGTATCGTTACATCCCTAGTATACACATCATTGACCTGATCAGTTTGTCCAAGTAGCAAAGTCTGCTACACAATAGAAGAAACAAAAAACACACACGACTAGAACCCACCCACCAAAGTTAAAAACGGTTCAAATCAAAATGATTTGCAAACCCAAAACACACACAGAGGATCCAGCAGTGAAATGGACCTTTACACAGAAATCATTTCTGTATATTGTTTACCTGAACCTCGTAATGACTTGGAGAAAAGTAGGGAAAAGAAAAAAAGATAAAAAGAAAAAAATATGGAGAGCAATAGGAGATCTGTGTTCTGTGACTCCTGCACTGCAGCGGCTCTGTGAATGGCTGCAGTCTCATCTGCATTTCCTTTCTTGGCTGGCTTGTATGTGGAAGTAGCACCCAACGGTCGCTGACTCCATGAGCTGAGCTGCTGTTGACTGGAGTAGAGAGGAGGGGGGGGGAGCTTGGTTTATATGCACAGTGTGGGGCTGTCAGTCTGTATAACCGCCAGAGAACCTGGATGAAGGTCAACATGTGTTGGACGTTGATTCAAAAAGCAGCAGGTGACAACACTTCAGCCAAAAAACGGAGAGAAACGGACATCCCAAAGCCCAGCTCCAAATGAGAGGACGTCCTTTAGTTCTTTTAATCATGGCATTACATTTTATTATTGATAACCATTCTTCACTGTCTGCCTCACTTCATGCATGGCACAATTCCTTTTTTACTGAAATTGATTTATTCAGGATAACCCCTTGAGATGAACCATCTCATTTTCAAGAGGGTCCTAACATATGGTACAAACAGCAAGACAGTAAACAACTAAA